CTGTCGACAATTATAAACACAACTGCAGTAAAGAACTTCGTCATGGCAACGTTCCGACCAAATTAAGTTTGTATAAAGCCTCTGGCTTCAAGCCAAGCCTCTGGCTTCCTCAAGTCAATCTTCTGGCTTCCTCAAGCCAAACCTCTGGCTTCCACAAGCCAAGCCTCTGGCTTCCTCAAGCCAAGCCTATGGCTTCCTCAAGCCAAGCCTCTGGCTTCCTCAAGCAAAGCCTCAGGCTTCATTAAGCCAAGCCTCTGGCTTCCTCAAGCCAAGCCTCTGGCTTCCTCAAGCCAAGCCTCTGGCTTCCTCAAGCCAAGCCTCTGGTTTCCTCAAGCCAAGCCTCTCACTTCCTCAAGCCAAGCCTCTGGCTTCCTCAAGCCAAGCCTATGGCTTCCTCAAGCCAAGCCTCTGGCTTCCTCAAGCCAAGCCTCTGGCTTCCTTAAGCCAAGCCTCTGGCTTCCAGAAGCCAAACCTCTGGCTTCCTCAAGCCAAGCCTATGGCTTCCTCAAGCCAAGCATCTGGCTTCCTCAAGCGAAGCCTCTGGCTTCCTCAAGCAAAGCCTATGGCTTCCTCAAGCCAAGCCTATGGCTTCCTCAAGCCAAGCCTCTGGCTTCCTCAAGCCAAGCCTATGGCTTCCACAAGCCAAGCCTCTGGCTTCCACAAGCCCAGTCTCTGGCTTCCATAAGACAAGCCTCTGGCTTCCATAAGCCAAGCCTCTGGCTTCCTCAAGCCAAGCCTCTGGCTTCCACAAGCCAAGCCTCTGGCTTCCACAAGCCAAGCCTCTGGCTTACTTAAGCCAAGCCTCTGGTTTCCTCAAGCCAAGCCTTTGGCTTCCTCAAGCCAAGCCTCTGGCTTCCTCAAGCCAAGCCATTGACTTTTTCAAGCCAAGCCTATGGCTTCCTCAAGCCAAGCCTCTGCCTTCCTCAAGCCAAGCCTCTGGCTTCCACAAGCCAAGCCTCTGGCTTCCTCAAGCCAAGCCTCTGGCTTCCTCAAGCCAAGCCTCTGGCTTCCTCAAGCCAAGCCTCTGGCTTCCACAAGCCAAGCCTCTGGCTTCACAAGCCAAGCCTCTGGCTTCCTCAAGCCAAGCCTCTGGCTTCCTCAAGCCAATCCTCTGGCTTCCTCAAGCCAAGCCTCTGGCTTCCTCAAGCAAAGCCTCTAGCTTCCTCAAGTCAAGCCTCTGGCTTCCACAAGCCAAGCCTCTGGGTTCCCCAAGCAAGCCCCTGGCTTTCCTCAAGCCCCAAACCTCTGGCTTCCACAAGCCAAGCTCTGACTTCCACAAGCCAAATCTCTACTCTCTGGTTTCCAAAAGCCAAGCCTCTGGCTTCCTCAAGCCAAGCCATTGACTTTTTCAAGCCAAGCCTATGGCTTCCTCAAGCCAAGCCTCTGCCTTCCTCAAGCCAAGCCTCTGGCTTCCACAAGCCAAGCCTCTGGCTTCCTCAAGCCAAGCCTCTGGCTTCCTCAAGCCAAGCCTCTGGCTTCCTCAAGCCAAGCCTCTGGCTTCCACAAGCCAAGCCTCTGGCTTCCACAAGCCAAGCCTCTGGCTTCCTCAAGCCAAGCCTCTGGCTTGCTCAAGTCAATCCTCTGGCTTCCTCAAGCCAAGCCTCTGGCTTCCTCAAGCAAAGCCTCTAGCTTCCTCAAGTCAAGCCTCTGGCTTCCACAAGCCAAGCCTCTGGCTTCCACAAGCCAAGCCTCTGGCTTCCTCAAGCCAAGCCTCTGGCTTCCACAAGCCAAGCCTCTGACTTCCACAAGCCAAATCTCTACTCTCTGGTTTCCAAAAGCCAAGCCTCTGGCTTCCAGAAGCCAAGCCTCTGGCTTCCGCAAGCCAAGCCTATGTCTTCCTCAAGCCAAGCCTCTGGCTTCCAAAAGCCAAGCCTCTGGCTTCCTCAAGCCAAACCTCTGGCTTCCACAAGCCAAGCCTCTGGCTTCCACAAGCCAAGCCTCTGGCTTCCTCAAGCCAAACCTCTGGCTTCCTCAAGCCAAGCCTCTGGCTTCCTCAAGCCAAGTCTCTGGCTTCCTCAAGCCAAGCCTCTGGCTTCCACAAGCCAAGCCTCTGGCTTCCTCAAGCCGAGCCCCTGACTTCCTCAAGCCAAGCCTCTGGCTTCCTCAAGCCAAGCCCCTGACTTCCTCAAGCCAAGCCTCTGGCTTCCTCTAGCCAAGCTCTGGCTTTTCCCCAAGCCAAAGCCCTGACTTCCTCAAGCCAAGCCTTTGGCTTCCTCAAGCCAAGCCTCTGGCTTCCTCAAGCCAATCCTCTGGCTTCCTCAAGCCAAGCCTCTGGCTTCCTCAAGCAAAGCCTCTGGTTTCCTCAAGTCAAGCCTCTGGCTTCCACAAGCCAAGCCTTTGGCTTCCTCAAGCCAAGCCTCTGGCTTCCACAAGGCAAGCCTCTGGCTTCCACCAGCCAAGTCTATAGTCTCTGGCTTCCACAAGCCAAGCCTCTGGCTTCCAGAAGCCAAGCCTCTGGCTTCCTCAAGCCAAGCCTATGTCTTCCTCAAGCCAAGCCTCTGGCTTCCACAAGGCAAGCCTCTGGCTTCCACCAGCCAAGTCTATAGTCTCTGGCTTCCACAAGCCAAGCCTCTGGCTTCCAAAAGCCAAGCCTCTAGCTTCAAGCCAAACCTCTGGCTTCCACAAGCCAAAGCTCTGGCTTCCACAAGCGAAGCCTCTGGCTTCCTCAAGCCAAAGCTCTGGCTTCCACAAGCCAAGCCTTTGGCTTCCTCAAGCCAAGCCTCTGGCTTCCACAAGGCAAGCCTCTGGCTTCCACCAGCCAAGTCTATAGTCTCTGGCTTCCACAAGCCAAGCCTCTGGCTTCCAGAAGCCAAGCCTTGGCTTTTCCCCAAGCCCAAACCTCTGGCCCTTTCCCCAGCCAAGCCTTTGGCTTCCTCAAGCCAAGCCCCTGGCTTCCACAAGGCAAGCCTCTGGCTTCCACCAGCCAAGTCTATAGTCTCTGGCTTCAACAAGCCAAGCCTCTGGCTTCCTCAAGCCGAGCCTCTGGCTTCCTCAAGCCAAGCCTCTGGCTTCCTCAAGCCAAGCCCCTGACTTCCTCAAGCCAAGCCCCTGACTTCCTCAAGCAAAGCCTCTGGCTTCCTCAAGCCAAACCTCTGACTTCCTCAAGCAAAGCCTCTGACTTCCTCAAGCCAAGCCTCTGACTTCCTCAAGCCGAGCCCCTGGCTTCCTCAAGCCAAGCCTCTGGCTTCCTCAAGCCAAGCCTCTGGCTTCCTCAAGCCAAGCCCCTGACTTCCTCAAGCCAAGCCCCTGACTTCCTCAAGCAAAGCATCTGACTTCCTCAAGCAAAGCCTCTGACTTCCTTAAGCCAAGCCTCTGACTTCCTCAAGCCAAGCCTCTGGCTTCCTCAAGCCAAGCCTCTGGCTTCCTCAAGCCAAGCCTTTGACTTCCTCAAGCCAAGCATCTGACTTCCTCAAGCCAAGCCCCTGGCTTCCTCAAGCCAAGCATCTGACTTCAAGCCAAGGCCCTGGCTTCCTCAAGCCAAGCCCCTGACTTCCTCAAGTCGAGCCCCTGGCTTCCTCAAGCCAAGCCCCTGGCTTCCTCAACCCAAGCCCCTGGCTTCCTCAACCCAAGCCCCTGGCTTCCTCAACCCAAGCCCCTGGCTTCCTCAACCCAAGCCCCTGGCTTCCTCAACCCAAGCCCCTGGCTTCCTCAACCCAAGCCCCTGGCTTCCTCAACCCAAGCCCCTGGCTTCCTCAACCCAAGCCCCTGGCTTCCTCAAGCCAAGCCCCTGGCTTCCTCAAGCCAAGCCCCTGGCTTCCACAAGCCTATATATTGTTCTTGCTATTAAAGACACATGTTTATATCTAAATCGTCACTAAGTCACTGTAGTATTTGCAACTGCACGCTGCTGTCTTCATCAATCATAATCTCACACACTACATACATTCATCTGCTCAGATACCTGCAATAATAATCATAATAATTATTATTATTATCACTAATTATTATTATTGATGTGGAAGCGCTAAACCAGTAGAGATTACACAGAGAATGGAAAAATAGGAGGCAACCATGTCTGATCCGAATAAAGCGAGGACACCTCCAATTCCTGGGATCAAGATCCCCTCACCAGCATCAAGTCCCCCTTCCCCCCCAAACATCCTAACATTGTCAATAATACATTAAAAAATCCTAAAAAAAAATTACGCACGTATTGCGTGTACGTCCTCACTAATTAACAAATATCAATTCTTTTATTGTTTCTGTTTTGTGATTATTGTTTATAATCCAGAAGATGGCACGAAACACTTCAGAAAAAATATCACTTGGATTGAGAATCATCACATCGCAATGTTCTGTGGCGAGTTGAAAGTTTTTATGTTAGTATTATTAATACAGGTTATGTTCCGGTCCGCTTCACCGCTTATTATCACTATCTATGTTCGTTTCGTTTTGTGGTAGACAATTTTAAATGGAACGATTGAAAATGGATATATATATATGAGGAGAGAGAGAACACACAACTCTTCACACTAGTGTCCGCCGCACTACTGAGGTCTTCCCTCCACACAGAAAACGGACCTCACCTTCACTCATAGAAAACGGGCATCTAACTAAATATTCCATTGAAAAAAATCATAATAAAGGAGGTAAAAAGTGACTTTGTTATATATTTTTTTCTTTTGGTTTCTCGAATTTTTCCTTGCGGTTTCAGGAAATTTTAATTTTTATATATATTTTCCTTTATAAACATTTATTTTGATTAAAAAAAATCCTAATTTTATAAATTTTATTAATTTATTTTTAATGTGAAATTGGAAACAAAAAATAAATTAATGAAAAAATATAACTTCCAAGAGAATAAAATTTAAAAATAAATATTCCTAAAATAGAAGAAATACATTTCAGTTTATTCATAAATTCCAATTATATTCTAAGATCTAGATATTCCCTACAAATAACACGAGTTAAATAATATACATTAGTTACACCTATAAACAGCACATGAGTAAAATAATATACATTAGTTACACCTACAAACATGTTAAATAATATACAAGTTACACCTACAAAAACACATAAGTTAAATAATATACATAAGTTACACCTAGAAACAACACATAATTTAAATAATATACACGAGTTACACCTAGAAACAACACATAATTTAAATAATATACACGAGTTACACCTAGAAACAACGCATAATTTAAATAATATACACAAGTTACACCTATAAACAACAAATAAGTCAAAAATTATACACAAGTTATCACTAGAAATAACAAATAAAGTTAATATACAAAAGTTACACCTAGAAAAAGAAATAATATAAAAGACTGACACCTACAAACAGCAATAATATACACGAGTTACACCTTTAAACAAGAAAACGCCCCAAAAACTCTGTGGGATTTGCTCTCCACACCTTCAGCATTTACCAACACAAACACACACACACACACACACACACACACACACACACACACACACACACACACACACACACACACACTATTCTTCAAGCCCAGCAAAAAAACCTTTATTCTGTATAGAATAAAGCAACATGGGGACTGGGTCCTGCCCTCACCGGCTTAGTCTCTTGTGTCAGCAAGGTCTTAACCACAAGAATGGAAAACTGTGTGGGGAGAAGGGTACACTTCGCGAATTATTAAAGATTGTTTTTAGCATGTTAAACTTACTGAGTCTCAGCTCTCACTGGAATATTAATTAATGCTGGTGTATGTGGCGTTGGATACCCGCGCGCAAACATACACACAGCGAAAAGCCGGGGCCAGGAGCTATGACTCGACCCCTGCAACTACAACTAGGAGAGATACCCACACAGACACACACACACACACACACTACAAAATACTGTGTGGAATAGACAAGGTGGACAGAGACAGGATGTTCCAGAGATGGGACACAGAAACAAGGGGTCACAGTTGGAAGTTGAAAACTCAGATGAGTCAAAGGGATGTTAGGAAGTATTTCTTTAGTCACAGAGTTGTCAGGAAGTGGAATAGCCTGGCAAGTGACGCAGTGGAGGCAGGAACCATTCATAGCTTTAAGATGAGGTATGATAAAACTCATGGAGCAGGGAAAGAGAGGACCCAGTAGCTCTCAGTGAAGAGGCGGGGCCAGAAGCTGAGTCTCGACCCCTGCAACCACAATTAGGTGAGTACAATTAGATGAGTACACACACACACACACACACACACACACACACACACACACACACACACAAAGGCTTGTGCGTCAGACGTGATTATTAAATCCTGGACATGCTCAGCTGACCAACTAGTGAGGGGAGAGAGAGAGAGACAATGAGAATGAGAGACAGAGAGAATGAGAATGAGAGAGAGAGAGAGAGAGAGAGAGAGAGAGAGAGAGAGAGAGAGAGAGAGAGAGAGAGAGAGAGAGAGAGAGAGAGAGAGAGAGAGAGAGAGAGAAAGAAATGAGAATGAGAGAGAGAGAGAGAGAAATGAGAATGAGAGAGAGAGAGAGAGAGTATGCTTCACTTCCTTGAACTGGATGCCCTCCGTCTCATCTACGACTTCTTGACAGAATAGAGAACAGAGCAAGACGACTCATCTCTGGCCTGGACTCAGCCTGGACAGATTTGTTGTGTCAGCAGGGTGGTCTTACTGTTATGTACAAGGCCAATACATGTATTGTCGAAGTACCACACTTGGCTCCACTCCGAGGACAGCGAGAAGTGAGCTTCTACACCACAAGACGGGCAGCCAGCAGCAGCTTAACTCTAACTGTGACCTTCTCCAGAACATCACTTCATCTGAGATCATTTATCCCCAGGATGGCTGAAGTCTGGAACATGTTCGTACAGCATAATGACATCAACGAAACAAATGGAGTCAAAGATGGCTCCAACTTCATCCTGTTCCCTACTTGTATGTCCCATAACAATAAAAATGCTTTCAAATGAGCTGATGTAGGTAACAGCTGTTAGCTTGTCAATAAAGTTAGGAATCCTTAACCTAACCTTGTAAAACTCCGTGTAAAAAATATAATTCCCCAAATAAGTTCCCACACACCAAAATAAGTCCCCCACCCACCCAATAAGTCTCACACATCCAGATAAGTCCCCACACACCACAAAATAAGTCCCATACACACCAAATAAGTCCTCACACACCCAAATAAGTCCCCACACACATACCAAATAAGTCCCAGATACACTAAATAAGTCCCCACACACATACCAAATAAGTCCCAGATACACCAAATAAGTCCCCACACACATACCAAATAAGTCCCAGATACACCAAATAAGTCCCCACACACATACCAAATAAGTCCCAGATACACCAAATAAGTCCCCACACACCCAAACAAGTCCCCACACACATACCAAATAAGTCCCATACACACCAAATAAGTCCCCACACACCCAAACAAGTCCCCACACACATACCAAATAAGTCCCAGACACACCAAAGTTCTCCCACACACATGGGTACTCACGCAACATTCTCGGAACTGCTTTGCGTCTATAGGAGAGGTGAAGTTGAGTCCCCAGGTATCGCTGGTGGCCGGGTCCTTCCAGTAGACAAAACATTCTGACGCTTGTCCGATCCTGGTACCTGCCAGGTGAAGGTGACAACCTTGTTAGTACCTGCCAGTATCTGATTATGTTTAAAAAAGAGGGTGATTAGTACCTGCAAGGAAGAGTACCTGGTACCTGGGAGTACCTGACAGGTAGAATATGGAAGGTTAATAAGTACCTGGTACCTGAGAGCACCTGGGATTACCTGACAGGTAGAATATGGGAGGTTAACTAGTCCCTAGTACCTAGGAGTACCTGGTTTCTGGGAATATCTGACAGGTAGAATATGGGAGGTTAACTAGTACCTGGTACCTGGGAGTACCTGGCACCTGAAAGCACCTGGGATTATCTGACAGGTAGAAGATAAGCTAATTAGTATCTAGTACATGGCAGTACCTGACAGATAAAATACGGGTAGTTAATTAATCAACGATACCTGGGAGTACCTGGTACCTGAAAGCACCTGTCAGGCAGAAAATGGGAGGTTAACTAGTCCCTGGTACCTGGGAGTGCCTGGTACCTGGAAGCACCTGCCTGGCAGAACATACGAAATTAAATAGTCCCAGTTACCTGGGAGTACCTAACAGGCAGCATATGGAAGGCTAATTAGTACCTGGCACCCGGGAGTACCTGGTACCTGGAAGCACCTGTCTAGTAGAATATAAGAAGTTAATTAGTCCCCATTACCTGGGAGTACCTGCCAGGTAGAATATACGAAGTTAATTAGTCCCTGGTACCTGGGAGAACCTGCCAGGTAGTACCTGGGAATACCACACGCCAGTGTACTTATCAGGTCGTCAGAGAGACGAGTTTCGGTCTTCTTGCAGTCTTCTTGCAGTCTAGTGCCTGTCAGGTCGGGCTGAAGACAGCTACCCAGAATATGGGTACTGACCAGTGCCCAAATACGTAGAACCGTGTGGGTATACAGCTCTTTTCCCAGGATAGGACCAGTTAGGACCAGGAAAATATTTATGTCTGGTAAATGTGACAAGGTTGCCAGGTAGGTTAGACCCAAAAGTGAAGCTCTTAAAAGGTGTTCACTGGAAGAGGAAGCCTCAGTCTGAGAGACGAAGAGGAGGCTTCAGCCTGAGGAAGAGGAGGCTTCAACGTGAGGAAGAAGAGGCTTCAGCCTGAGGAAGAGGAGGCTTCAGCCTGAGGAAGAAGAAGCTTCAATCTGAGGAAGAGGAGGCTTCAGACTGGGCAAGAGGAGGCTTCAGCTTGAGAAAGAGGAGGCTTCAGTCTGAGGAAGAGCAGGCTTCAGCCTGAGAAAGACGACGCTTCAGTCTGAGGAAGAGGAGGCTTCAGCCTGAAGAGGAGGCTTCAGCCTGAAGAGGAGGAGGCTTCAGCCTGAGGAAGAGGAGGTTTCACCCTAAGGAAGAGGAAGCTTCACCCTAAGGAAGAGGAGGCTTCAGCATGAGGAAGAGGAGGCTTCATCCTAAGGAAGAGGAGGCTTCAGCCTGAGAAAGATGAGGCTTCAGTCTGAGGAAGAGGAGGCTTCAGCCTGAAGACGAGGAGGCTTCAGCATGAGGAAGAGGAGGCTTCAGTCTGAGGAAGAGGAGGCTTCAGCCTAAGGAAGAGGAGGCTTCAGCCTAAGAAAGAGGAGGCTTCAGCCTGAGAAAGAAGAGGCTTCAGTCTGAGGAAGAGGAGGCTTCAGCCTGAGGACGAGGAGGCTTCAGCATGAAAAAGAGGAGGCTTCAGCCTGAGAAAGAGGAGGCTTCAGTCTGAGAAAGACGAGGCTTCAGTCTGAGGAAGAGGAGGCTTCAGCCTGAGAAAGAGGAGGCTTCAGTCTGAGGAAGAGGAGGTTTCAGCCTGAGGACGAGGAGGCTTCAGCATGAGGAAGAGGAGGCTTCAGCATGAGGAAGAGGAGGCTTCACCCTAAGGAAGAGGAGGCTTCAGCCTGAGAAAGAAGAGGCTTCAGTCTGAGAAAGAGGAGGCTTCAGCCTGAGGACGAGGAGGCTTCAGCATGAGGACGAGGAGGCTTCAGCATGAGGAAGAGGAGGCTTCAATCTGAGGAAGAGGAGGCTTCAGCCTAAGGAAGAGGAGGCTTCAGTCTGAGGAAGAGGAGGCTTCAGCCTGAGGAAGAGGAGGCTTCAGCCTAAGGAAGAGGAGGCTTCAGTCTGAGGAAGAGGAGGCTTCAGCCTGAGGAAGAGGAGGCTTCAGCCTGAGGAAAAGGAGGCTTCAGCTTGAGGAAGAGGAGGCTTCATCCTGAGGAAGAGGAGGATTAAGCCTGAGGAAGAGGAGGCTTCAGCTTGAGAAAGAGGAGGCTTCAGCCTGAGGAAGAGGAGGCTTCAGCCTAAGGAAGACGAGGCTTCATCCTAAGGAAGAGGAGGCTTCAGCCTGAGAAAGAGGAGGCTTCAGTCTGAGGAAGAGGAGGCTTCAATCTGAGGAAGAGGAGGCTTCAGCCTAAGGAAGAGGAGGCTTCAGCCTGAGGAAGAGGAGGCTTCAGCCTGAGGAAGAGGAGGCTTCAGCCTGAGGAAAAGGAGGCTTCAGCTTGAGGAAGAGGAGGCTTCATCCTGAGGAAGAGGAGAATTAAGCCTGAGGAAGAGGAGGCTTCAGCTTGAGGAAGAGGAGGCTTCAGCCTGAGGAAGAGGAGGCTTCAGCCTAAGGAAGACGAGGCTTCATCCTAAGGAAGAGGAGGCTTCAGCCTGAGAAAGAGGAGGCTTCAGTCTGAGGAAGAGGAGGCTTCAGCATGAGGAAGAGGAGGCTTCAGTCTGAGGAAGAGGAGGCTTCAGCCTAAGGAAGAGGAGGCTTCAGCCTGAGGAAGAAGAGTCAGCCTGAGGAAGAGGAGGCTTCAGCCTGAGGAAGAGGAGGCTTCAGCCTAAGGAAAGAGGCTTCAGTTTGAGGAAGAGGAGGCTTCAGCCTGAGGAAAGAGGCTTCAGTTTGAGGAAGAGGAGGCTTCAGGCTGAGGAAGAGGAAGCCTTAGCCTGCAGTATTAATGATCCTACGTACAGTGACTGAACCCTACGTACAGTGTATGAACCCTACGTACAGTGACTGAACCCTACGTACAGTGATTGAACCCTACGTACAGTGACTGAACCCTACGTACAGACTGAACCCTACGTACAGTGACTGAACCCTACGTACAGTGGATGAACCCTACGTACAGTGATTGAACCCTACGTACAGTGGATGAACCCTACGTACAGTGACTGAACACTACGTACAGTGGATGAACCCTACGTACAGTGGATGAACCCTACGTACAGTGGATGAACCCTACGTACAGTGACTGAACCCTACGTACAGTGGATGAACCCTACGTACAGTGGATGAACCCTACATACAGTGACTGAACCATACGTACAGTGGATGCACCCTACGTACAGTGGATGAACCCTACATACAGTGACTGAACCCTACGTACAGTGACTGAACCCTACGTACAGTGACTGAACCCTACATACAGTGGATGAACCCTACGTACAGTGACTGAACCCTACGTACAGTTACTGAACCCTACGTACAATGGATGAATCCTACGTATAGTGACTGAACCCTACGTACAGTGACTGAACCCTACGTACAGTGGATGAACCCTACGTACAGTGACTGAACCCTACGTACAGTGGATGCACCCTATGTACAGTGGATGAACCCTTCAGTGACTGAACCCTACGTACAGTGGATGAACCCTACATACAGTGAGTGAACCCTACGTACAGTGACTGAACCCTACGTACAGTGACTGAACCCTACGTACAGTGACAACCCTCAATCTCAGCAACAAACCAGTGTGGTTAATAAAGACACAATAACGAAGAATTTGACAGAGACGTTTCGCCAGTTAGTAGACTTGGTCAGTCACTACACGGGAGCTTACAAGTGGTGGCCGAGGTCACTGTGTGAGAGATGGTAACACTGCAGGAGGTCAACCTCTCCTTCCCATGACTTACATTTTTATGTAAGATGGGTCATACTACAAGTTTGGCAACACTGACAGCTCCTTGATTCTCATGGCTTATATTTTGTATTGGTAGTAACGCGGCTTCCAGGCATCTACCACGTTTTCTGTCGCCTTCTATTAGCACTAGCTGGACGTTACTGGAAAAAGTCCTTTTAACAGACAACAGTTAGGTCTGGTCATGAGGTCAGTGCCATCAGAGATTCAATAGTTATTCTTCTTGGCACTTCATGTATTCCTAATATTGCTCTTTGGTGCCACAGTTAATATCCTTTAAAGAGATCGGAGTGATCAAAATATCCAAAATCATTCGATAAACGTGTTCATAAGTGGGCGGCGTTCAGGTGTGTGTGAGTGGGCGGCGTTCAGGTGTGTGTGAGTGGGCGGCGTTCAGGTGTGTGTGAGTGGGCGGCGTTCAGGTGTGAGTGGGCGGCGTTCAGGTGTGTGTGAGTGGGCGGCGTTCAGGTGTGTGTGAGTGGGCGGCGTTCAGGTGTGTGTGAGTGGGCGGCGTTCAGGTGTGAGTGGGCGGCGTTCAGGTGTGTGTGAGTGGGCGGCGTTCAGGTGTGTGTGAGTGGGCGGCGTTCAGTGTGTGTGAGTGGGCGGCGTTCAGGTGTGTGTGAGTGGGCGGCGTTCAGGTGTGTGTGAGTGGGCGGCGTTCAGGTGTGTGTGAGTGGGCGGCGTTCAGGTGTGTGTGAGTGGGCGGCGTTCAGGTGTGTGTGAGTGGGCGGCGTTCAGGTGTGTGGGGCATCACACCACACCTGCAGATTTACCATTAACATTACCATTGCTAGAATTACCGACTATATGTAAAGTAAACGGACACAAGTGCAGCTAATGTGACATTTTATTGTGGCGACGTTTCGCTCTCCAGGAGCTTTATCAAGCTGTTACGGCTTGATAAAGCTCCTGGAGAGCGAAACGTTGCCACAATAAAATGTCACATTAGTTGCACTTGTGTCCTTTTACTTTACATTAATATTACCACCATGGCCACAAGGCTCACCATGGCCACAAGGCTCACCATGGCCACAAGGCTCACCAGGGCCACAAGGCTCACCACGGCCACAAGGCCCACCATGGCCACAAGGCTCACCATGGTCACAAGGCTCACCACGGCCACAAGGCTCACCACG